GGTTTTCGACCACCGATGCCTCAGAAGCGTGGCTGGTTTCGGATGGCGTCAGCGTATCAGTAACGAGGCGAGTAGAAAACGGGTATTTGGTTGTGCTGCAGGCACCTCAATCCGGGGAACATCCAGCATCATCGACTACGATGACTCGGTCATGTGCTACGCATGTCGAAACACCGTCTACCGAGACGAGTGGGGTGCGTGCTTTATTGCACCGAAGCAACGAAGTTGCAGCTGAACTTACGTTGATGATGGTGGACTGATGTGGACGCCTTACTAGCACTTAGTCCTTTAATGTGAGTACAAAGAATATTCATGACACCGGGTGCTTTATTGCACCGAAGCAACGAAGTTGCAGCTGAACTTACGTTGATGATGGTGGACTGATGTGGACGCCTTACTAGCGTTCACTTAGTCCTTTCAGATAGTGAGTTGATGGAGCCGGGCTAAACTGTTCTTCAATGTTCAAACCGTCGTTCAGGACAAAGTCTCTTTGGATGGATTAAGGTTCCATCCTTCTCGGAGGTCATTTCGCTAACACTCACCCTACTCGGACCAGTTGATTGCATTATCTGGAACTACAGCAGCAAAACGTCAGCGCTGAACACTGCTGCCATGCTGTCGGTGATAATGATAATGATTATCTGGAACATTATATGATTGTTTCCCATGACAACAGCCTTCTCCGTTTCCTGAGCTTTTGCAATCCACCAGCGCTCTCTGTCAATCCTTAGGCTCCTCACTATTCGGCGTTTGAGGGATCTGCTTTAATCAGGACTGGTGATTGCGATGAGATTCAATGTTCGTCGGGACGAGCGACTGACCTCGAGTAGGCCGGTTTCAAATACGTGATCGTTGCCCATTTCACCTTTCTCTATTGGTCATCCATATTACCATTGTGCCCGTTCAAGTTCTTAGAGCTTCTCAGCCAACCCAACTCGATGTTGTTGAGCTACGGATACACTGCATGTGCTAGACAGTATGTGCAATACAACCATGAATTGCACATACTGAAGGCTTTTTCATCAAACGGCGCGTTTCGGAAAGAAAGCGGATAGATGCGCGTGCCCGAATAACGCTACGGTCAGATTCAAGTCCATCAAAGCTCTTCACTGGTAGCTGATTGTCACATGACCCAACTGTGTCCACGGCTGGTTTGCAGTTAATGACCTCCAGATCACTGGTTGTGAGCCCTTAAGCTGAAACTTTGTGCTGGCTAGAAACAAATGATACTGGGCTCATAATTGAAGAATTGACTGTGCAGTGAACGTCAAACCTGACTCGGACACCTGAATGGGCTTATTCAGGACGTAGTCGACCAATCTGTGCATCTATATCACCTGAAAGGCTCACAATGTCCGTACTTCTCCGCACTCCGTCGCTGACCGGAGTGCCTGATAAATCTCGAAAGCAGCTGTTTTCCTCCGCCTTATAGTTGCCATCTGTGGGAGCGGTATAAGATGTATGGCCGAACTGAGGTCTTGTATGTGAGTTTCGGAGATACAACATACATTGATCGAAAAAAGATCGAAAAGAGCAGGGCCTGAGCAAGAACTCCTGTAGCCTGGTTTGTCACATCGTACGGACTGCAAAGGGGAACAAAACCCTTGAATTTAACAAGGGTTCACCTCGTTTTATACTATTTAGAGGATGATTAGGTATGAGGCAAATGTTAAGCGGTTAACAGGTAAATGGATCAAAAGGATTTGGGGGAGGGGTCAGTGAACAAACACCTGCAGTGGTGGATGGCCCTTTGCTGTTGCCCACGCTGAAGCAGGGTGTTTGATTGGGGTACCTCGCCTTGAACCTTTGACCCACAAGGCAGTTGGTGGATGCAGGGTTTTCTTGGAGGTGGGGGGTGCGGGGAGCTTTTCGTAGGCAGTGACTCAATATCCTGAGGCTCTTGGATGCTCGGGGGCTGACGTGGCCCGAGGGTGTAGGGCATATAGCATTAATGTTTGACTCCTTTTGCGGCTACGCACAACAGGTAACTTCTCGGCAGCACCAGACTCTTTAACTCTGAAGGTTTTTGGGCTCTAATGAAATAGCTCAGTGGTTAAGTAGCCAGCTTACTACCTGGAAAGTACGTGATTCGAACCCAACCTTAGCATCTTGAATGCTTCTATATGGGGTTGTGTAATTGGGCAGCATCGCAGCCTCCGAGCCTCCAGCTGCACAGAGGCACCAGATTAGCATCTTGAATGCTTCTATATGGGGTTGTGTAATTGGGCAGCATCGCAGCGAGCGAGCCTCCAGCTGCACAGCCTCTAGGCACCAGAAGTATGCAGCAGCTGAACGGTTGGTTAAATGACTGAGTTACTGACTACTCATTGATTGATTGGTCGATTGATTGGAAAGTACACCGGTGGTCACCGTCACTCGTTGGGTGACTGGAAATTGCTTGAGGTCTAGCTCTCCCATATTTCGTTAGTCTGAAGGAGGTAGCATCTCTGCTTCTATATTTATGAATTTCCTTGTCTTCTGAAGGAAACACCTTTCTGCATTCACACTTCTATCGCTGAGAACGTTATAGATTTACCCCCAGAGCCTCTCGCACTGTGATTCTTCGAAATGCGGGCATTTGCTGTTCTTCGTCGGGTTGCTCACAATTGGCCTTCCTGGTGTGGTTGAATCTCTTGGAAATGGACTTCAGCTATTATAGCCAGCGGGGTCATTACAGCACTGAAGCCCGACCACCATGAAAAGAACGTAGGTGTCTACCGATCACAGGCTTCCTTTGCGGTACCATTTTCCGGAACAGCTGAGTTCGCTTAATAGTGGGGTGCCCTCAACGAAACGGCTCCATAATACTTTAGGTTCCCAGCTTCCATGCCACGCGAAGAGAGCACGAGAGCTGGGATACTACCAAGTTGTTCAAGCCTAGACAGGGGAAGTCGAGATGCAGAGGTCGGATTCGAACCATGGACCTTCCAATCAGTAATTTCGCGCTCTAACCACTGAGCATGCTATTCATGGTTGCATTTCACCTAGAGGAAAGATTTTCTCAGGTAATAGGACATAGGCAATAGACACTACTGCCCACTTGACATGAATATGTTCACCATAGAGACGTCAGTTTGAATCCCGTTCTAACTAGGCTTCTGTTGTGGTGGATTCTTTGTCCTCTCACGCTGGCACGCTGAAACTTGATTTGAGAGCATAAAGGTGGATTTCAACCGGGTAGGGGCTGAGTCGACGGCATCTTCACACTCTGTCATGTGTTCAAGCAGTGTCATATGCACGGACGACCCACAATCTTGGTGTTTCTTGACTTCCAGTGTTCGTTTGATTTTGTCGACCCGTCTGTTCTCTTAACTGCACTTGCTCAAAAGGGGGGTACTCGAGAAGTTTATCAACCTAATATTGTCCTTATTATTTACATACTGCTTAGCATGAGTGGTAAGTTGTCTAAGAGCTTCCCTACAAAATGGCAAGCACTTCGGTCTTTCCGTTTGTCATTGATGATGAACGCTGGAAGGTCTTCAAAACCCCAGTTTTCAAATCTTTTCCTTTTCGCTCTTGAGTGCCCAGACGACGTCGTTGCCATTAAAAATGAGGACCGAGCAGAAACTTTGGAGAATAAAATGACCACCACTTGCAGGAATCAGGTAGCAGTATAACCTTGCGCCTTCAAATTGCTGGTCTGCGAAGTGAGTGTATTTCACTCATTTTGGAAAACTCGAGGACTACACCTACCTGGTGAGCCCGAAGAAGGACAAAACCGTGGGCTGTCGGAGAGTTCTCAGTAACCTTATGAGGAATGTGTCATATACGGGGAACTCTCCAAATGCTTTCATACACGAAATGATGTCCATCAAGGGTGCCCACTCCATTTCTACCCAACTTCGTGATCGATGAGATAATGAGACACGCTAGAAGGTTTTCAAGCAGCTAGTGATAACATCCTCGTCTATCTGGAATAGGCAGACGATATCCTTCTCATCACTAAAGAGGAAAAGAAGACACCAGTTTTGGGTGAACTAACCAAAGTTGTGCCATTCTTCGGGACGCGCTTTGCACCCTCGAAGTGTAAGGTCATGTCTCTGGACATGCAGTCACTGTAATTTGCAATTGTAGTGTGCCAGGCAAGATAACTGAATTGGCAGCGCGACTATTACAAAACAGGTATTCGGTTGTACAATAAGTCCAGTCGAAGAATGTCTCCGGCACCTGAAGTTGGGAGGATTCGTTCATTTATCTTGCATGCAGAACCACATTTTTCCAAAGAGAATGCTCTTTTGTATGCCAGTTCAAAGTGGTACAAGTAGAGACGGGCAGAGGATTGTGATTTTAATTGTGGAATGTCTGGGTACTGTCGTCGTGACTCTCCCTCGAGGATGAGATCCACGGGATCTTCCCTGCGCATGTTCGGAGACGCAGAATATGACTACCAATCTATGTACATGGTCTTGTCGTTAGTTTCTACTCAGATTGCCGGAACCGTAGATACCTCAGCAAGATATTAGTACGTGAATGCGATGCCCTTCCCGTATCCACTTTTCTTCCCTTACTACACGGTTATACGGCATGGGATCCCTGTTGGACACTGGTTTTTTATGTCATTGTTGATGATAATGGTGGTGATAACATCATTTCTGCATCCGAGATGTATACCTTGAGAGGTAGCATTTGATGTGTTTAGGAGAACTTTGGCCTTGCGCTTTACGCCATGGTATTTGCGTTGTGAAATCCTGGGCTTGATCACACCAGTCTTCGTCCCAGCCGTTGAGTACAGTCCTGACTGGTTTTCTTAAGTACAGATTTCGTGTTTTGTTGAGAGTTCCTTATCTAACCAAGCACCTCTGAATGTTTCAAAGGCGGCAATGAATCTGACAGTGTAAGTACTAGCATTGACAAGCGGTGTTTATACGTTTCGTCGCGTATTTTGGAGAATGAACTAACCTGTAAAAGCAGACGAAATGTAATCTGTGGGATCTGTTAAAGACGCAACATAGAAATCATTTAGTATCGGTTAAAGACGGGCATCAAGCAACGGTCTCATCCTTCCTAGTTCGTCTGGTGCATGTCAGCAAATATCTGACCGGTTTATGCGGTTAGAAACGAATGACGACATTCGTCTGTATCAGCTCCGCGCATAATATGACTGTATGTTTTGCTAGTTACGTGGGGCGTGCACAGTCCACAGTTGGGCACCGCAGTGTATTCGTCCTCCCACTCTGATTATAAGGGGTCATCTCTGACACTCCCTTACTTTTTCTTCGTCTACAATTGAAGTATTTTATTTGACTGAACATCTCGGTTTGAATAATCGAGTGGAAACGCTTGAGTTGTGATTCACTGGCGCTGCATGTGATCGTCTGTCGATCAAACCAAATGGTGCACTTGGGCTTTTTACGTCGCTGATTCCATTGAATTTAGTCGATTCCAGTTCAGCATCAAGGTAACGAACTACAGCTTAACCTATTTTGTTTTCATTCCAGGCGCGAGCTTGATTCTCATTGCCTGTCGCCAACGGTGGGTCCGCTGTTTTTGAAACCAAAGTGTGCGACAACCCAATGTCTGTACCTCGTATTCAAAGCTCCAGTCTTCGATGTAAAAATGATTGTGGGTTTTATGGAAACCCATCCTGGAATGGCTACTGTTCTGTTTGTTATCGGGAAACCTATCTCCAGCATAGCTTGTCTCGCAACCTCACAGCTAATATCACCTCAGTGTCCTCACAAGCCTTCTCCAAGTTTGAGGCGAAACGTAAGCAACTTGCTGGGAAGGGTGCGAACACATTGAAAAATATATTCCGATTCACAAAAGGTACGCTATCTTAAAATCAGCTTACATATTCTAGATGGCCTACGAGACAAAAGTTCAAACCTTCCAGAGGAGTGTTACAATGCGGCCGATGCGTTCAACACTTTCCTCGGCACACTGAAGGGGACTGTTAGTGCTGATGTTTCCCGTTTGGTTTGCTATCATTTCGTTATCGGTTAATCCCCTGTTTAGATTTCCAAGCTCCTCGAAGAACTGGAAACAATGGGCGGCTCTCATATTGACCAATACTCGCTGGTTATACAAAATTTTTATCAGAACATGGCTGATCGTATCTCCAAATCGCCGCTCTACTCGGTAAGTGTTCGTATACTTAAAAATTTCCACTTCCGATTTCGGAACAGAGCAGCAAAGAAACGGTTGGTTCTCATGTCCCATGCACTTATTTTGGTTAGATGAGGCAGAAACCAGTAGTTGCAAGGATAACTCCGTATCTACCGTTCAAGTTTTCTTCACAATCGTTCTTTCCTCGCTGTGTCGCGGAGATCGGTTTGTTCACTGCGAACTGATATGTGTATTGCCCCTTGAAGCAGCTTTTAGCTGCTTAATCACGAAAAAACGAACCTTTTCCCCGAAAGTTATTGAGTTATTGTGAGCGGTGACCGCACAGTCGTGCTCCAGATTAGTCGGTGGACATGTTAGTACTAGCACAGATAACCTGCAAGCACGACATTTAAGCACGTGCATCACGGCGCTACCATGGTTCTCGGTGATCATGGTACACAAATTGAGAGTGGAAAAGCGTTGAAAGGCCTATGGAAACTTAATAGTCCTTCTGTGTTCCGTGAGACGGATTCATGCGCTGGCTATGCTTCTTTATTTTTGTTTCATGATCATTTTGCAATCTGGCTTGTTTCTCTTGCAGGTAATGTGTCGATGAGGTACGGTGGTTGCGATGTCCTGCGGATTAGTAATTCAGTGAGGAAGGGTCAGGTGGTGAAACGCCTCTCCTTTCCCTTCCGTACTGGTCGAATTAACCCTAGGGTTGAAAATTTCATTTAATGTTAGAGTAATCTGGTTTGCTCTATGGCAGTTTCAAGTGTCTAGGCGGCTACGTTTCACATGATTCGCAATCTCAGTGGTCACCTAATTGTGGATGAACAACAAATGCAAAGGTTTCGTAATCAGCTTCGCAATCAGTTGTTGTGTTTGGGGGCCTTATTATCTTAATAAAGTAAACGAAGCAGGAAGGGTGCCGTTGAAAGGGTTAACCAGTCCGCATGGACAGGATAACACACCGCGTCTGTTGTCACAATCTTCCCCGCCGTTGTCAATCAGACAGATGTCATAATTAAACCATGAGGTACTAAATGATATTAGTCACTCTTCATAAGGTTGCTGAAAACTCTTCACCACCCCACAACCGGTTTTGCCCTTGTTTTGGTTCATCTGGTAGGCATAACCGTTAAACTTACGTCCTACTTGAACCCAATCTGCACGAATTTTGACTTGTGCCCTCATCTGCATACCAGTTTGGTTTTGACTGGAGACTCACCTGCAATCCAGCTGAATTTCTGGTTTATGATGTTCTTAGTCACCACGTAAACACATTAGGTTGATTGAGAACATCATGAAGGAGAGATTTAGTTGGATTCCAGGTGAGCCTCCCGTCAATCCAGTTTGGTATGCAGCACAACGTGTGCTTGAAATTGAACGACGGCAGGTGGGAAAAGGCTTGATATGCCCGAGCTACAAATCTATTCGTGACGCTCCACTATTTTGTCACGTTCGAACGTGTGGCGTGCTTATGGAAATCAGTCCTGATGCTTTAAACATTCTTGTCCAGTCTGGTTTTTGTGCAATTCGAACTAGTCTGGCGAATCATTGAGAGGCTATTTTACGTGCTGATGAGAACCCATGACAGCGGGCTGTGAAAAAAATAGTCCTTACTAAACGGTACGTTCACACCATTTGCAGAGTCTTTGTTTGGTGCTCTGTTTCATCTACACGTACCTAGTATCCAATTTAGTTTCACGTAGTTCCTTTCACCGTCAAGCTTGTGCTTCTGCGTCATGACCAAGTTAGCAAGCCACCTCCAACAAACTGTCTGCATGAACTTGAAACGAATTTCCCAATTCATCCAATGCACAGATTTTCATCATGATTCTGATCGCGCTTCGATTGTTCGTTTATCCATCAATAACATTTCAGGGTCTAGTTCAATCGACCTCTGACAAGTTAATGTCTGCCATCGAACGGTTTCTAACCACTTGGATATACTGTTGGGCTTTCGCCTCTCCAATCACCGATGACGAATCAGTAGATTTGAAGCTACAAGAAAAGATTCGTTCATTGCACTGGATCACCCCATCCCTCCTTGACTCCCCCATCAATCCCAGATCACCGGCAGAACTGGCAGCACTGGATAATGCCACATTTGGTAAGTACCAGTGCGTGATCCACTCGGGATAGCATCCACACTTAGTATTACGTTGTTCAAACCCCAACATATTCGTAGTAGTCTGGGTTCAGTAAGAGTTCAATTAAACCAGTGAAATTTATTGTTTTATGGTTTTCCCATCTTCATGTGCATTTGTTTTTAAGGTGTCTTTCGTACCGTATGAGTTTGAATTTGCATTGGTCGTGAATAGAACATCATTCGCCGTCGGCCGGCGGTCTGCAACCACCGCCCTACAGAGCAAGCCCTACCAGATTGTCTCAGCACACTGAGTAATTCGATGTGCTAAGCCCGCAACGTTGCTGGAAGACACCTTGGTTGTTGGCCTATTCACCGAGCTTGGCAGTCGGATTGCAAAAGTTTCGTCACTAATCGAGGTGACATCGTCAATGCAGGGTTGAGTGGGTAGCTCCCTCCTCTTCTGCCTGCACCTATATAGTTTCTAAACCGTACTGAGTGACCCTAAAGTAATTGGTTGATCCCGAGGTAGTTTTCGTGGAATTTGTTTGGTCAGCTTGGAATCTGAGCTCGTTGTGGCCCCTTTTCCATTTATCTTTCTCGTTGGTCGCCTTCAGGTTGACAGTTCAGTTCCCCCGCTGTGATTGGGCCGTCTCCTTGCTTTGTGGTCTGATTTCCATCCACTTTATTGGTTGAATGAACAACCTTTTTAGTGGCTTTTTCTCTTTGATCCGATTTTTTCGTTGCTTGTCTTTGGACTGTTTGGTTTCCCATGTGGCTCAGAGTCCTGCTACCGTATAGTTCTTTTGTTTGTAGCGGCTGACAGACTAGGTCGACACCGATGTGTTTTTTTGCTTGGAATACCACGGCTCGGTAAATTCCCGCTCCCCTTTCGTTCTTGCGTGAGCAAGTAGTTGAGCATCGTCCCAGTTGAACTGATATCCTTCTCCGCTTTCGTGAATTGAAACAAGTGACACTGTGTCATGTCTCCTGCTGGCAAGCTTCTTTACGTGAATTCTGGATTCCAGTCCGGTCAACGCAGTGTGTGTCGCGATCGCTACATTGAAGTTTGTAGATCACATTCATATTATTCATTTCATGCAGCCTCCCTTTAGTTTCGAGAGCGTTCTCGACGTAAATGCGACTGTTATTCCATATTGTGGTAAATACTGTACATTCGTTTCCTTGATGCTTTTGACATACGGAAGCTTAATCCTCCTCTCTTCTGGTTGTTTTGGCAAAGTAGCTTTGTGTTCATTTTGCAAGCATTTCCATATGAAGTTACTGGGGTAGCAGTGATTCTGCAGTATCTCATAAAGTCTTCGTTTTGTTGCGGTGCATCTCGATCCGTTTGAATGGGGTTCGAACACAGCGTCTTCGCGACAATTTGGACGGTTGCTAAGTAGTTTAGAGTCTAGTCCGTGTGCGTTTCGTGTGTATTTCAGTTCGCAGTTGGCTGTCCGTTATCACTGTGACGAGCACATCTAGGGACGTGAATTTGTTCTTCTCCGTTTCCATTGGGAAGCGGATGTCGGGAAACATGTTCAGCAGTTGATTTACTCGTGACACTTCATCTTTCTTTACAGTGGCAAGTGTGTCATTCGTATGTCGTACCCATGTTTTCGGTTTGACATATGGTAGCACAATCTTCTCCGTTACATTGCAATTTCCCCAATGAATGCAGTGTTCGGTGATCCTAATGGAGCCACTTTGAGTAAACGAAGCGAGTGGCACAATAATAAAAAGATGGCGATCCACAATACGGATATTTTCCTGAGGGTACGCACTTCTACTAATCGGTCCCGACTGCACAACCGATTATGTTCGAAACCCTTGTATGAAACCGTTACAAAACACTGACACTTGTGGAATCGGAATTATCCCTAGTGGGCCGCGTCCTGCTAACTGGCAATGTGTAGTGCTCTCTTACCCTAAAAATCGTAAGAAATGTGCTGAGTGTCCTTATTGGCAAAAGTTTTTTGGCAGCCGTGTAGATGTCTTTTGCTTTTCGAAGAAAAACAAAGTCAAATTAAGCTGCTTCGAGAATGACTGACAATCTAAGGGTAGATCACTGCTGTGTCATAAGTAGCACACTCGACAAGCTAGCCCATAATCGGCTGGTTGCGTATCAATGAACATGGTAGTATCCCATTTTTGATACCGTTTGTTGAGTAAAAAAAGAGAATCTTGCTGAGTACGCCGTGTATGGTAGTGGCTACATAGTTGTTTCGTTGGTATTTGATGGAGACCCACCGTAGTGTCGTTTATCAAATGCTCGGTATCGCGCTCTTTCTCTCCAGAAGTGTGAAATTCTTCCGTTTCCTTAAATTACGCTGGGAACCCCTTAGAATATCTCGCTTTCACATTAGAACATCTTTAGATTCCGATAGGGAAATCTTGTAGTTTCTCTCAGATCGTGTGAGCAGTGATGAGATATCGAGTAAGTTGAAGCATAATATGGATGCAGTTGTGGTCTGAAACCGCACCCTTTAAAATCCAGAGGAAGCAAAGTTTTGTAACTCAGTAATCAATTCCCGTAGTCTCCGATAAGTATGTGTTTTCCTTGTAGTTAACTTTCCCCTTTGAAGGTGTCCTGCGGAATGTTAACCCGCCTCGCAGAATGGAGGAGCACCCACCAATTCTTATACAGGTGCATTAACTGTGTTTCCTTAGAAGCTGTCGCCTATCAACACGTGTGCTGAATCTGATCGATCTTGACCGATATGGTGTCAGTAAACAAACGGTCAGTCTCACACAGGTTACGCTCATCGTAGGTTGCGCATACATCGTAGCTTTGTTAGTGAAGAATTATGTACACTTTGCGTTAGTTCACATTCCTCCGTCTCCGGATCAGTGAATTACTATGAATTCTTTATTCAAACTTTAACAGTCGGGTTCACAGTTGTTAGCTGGACTACGCTGCCTAACCTAGGTTTTGGTAGCCTAATGGATTTTCCTGCATCACGATCAGACTTCGTTAATGCCCGCGAGGCTTAGAATTCAGGTGACTATTTCACCGATTTAACAACAATATGGCGTATATTGAGGAGATCCACGTAGCCGATAGCACATCAGTCTTCAATACGGATGCTTCACTGCGCACAGCCATAATATATTTCAAAGCTTTGTGAAGAAGAGAATAATATTGGTTGTTTAAAGCACCTACTAATGATATGCCGAGTCGACTACGCTTTTAGATACTAATTTGTATGGAAAGTGACAACAAGAACGCTATTCGCCCAGGTTGACAGTCATATCTTGCAGTGTCTCCAAGCATGCACAGGAAAGATCACGCACATTTCTTCCAGGAAGCCGAGTCGTACCGACAGTACACAGGTTTTTCGTAATCAATTTCACAATTTTCTGCCAAGTCAAACGTTGGCCGTTTGTCTGCTTGTGCCATTTTGAACTGAGTATAGAAAGCAGTGCTCCCTCCGGAAAAATGTGATCCTAAGTGCACAATGTATGAACGAATCTCCTCGGATTGTAGTGCTAGACGCATTCTTCGTCCGAAGACTTTTTTGTACAACCGAACTCTTGTTTTGTAACTGTTTCGCTGTGCCTTCGTTACTACCAACCTACACGACCTAAGGTTGAGGGACAGCAGCTGTNTTTTCGCGGTGCCTTCGTTACTACCACCCTCCACGACCTAAGGTTGAGGGACAGCAGCTGTGGAGGTTCATCGTCTAGCTGAAGGATAGCAGGTGTCCACGATCCAGTAGTTAAGACCTTCATTTTCGAAGGTGATTGCGCCCTTCGATGCTCATTTGTACATCAATTTGGCTTTCACTGGATATCAACCTTCATATTATTATTCAACTGAATGTGCTGCACAAATGTGGTCTCGTGTTCTTTGGACATTCCCAACGTTTTTCGCCCCTTCCATCTCCTTACCCTTCGCTGTTTCTCAGGTCTCTTCGTAGGAACGCACACTAAGTTTCGCCGGGCTAAATTATGTTGGCAGTCGATGGGAACGTTACTTCGAGATTCAAACAGTGCCACTATTCTGTCTGGTATTCAGTCCTCCAGTGTCATATTCAGGTGAAATTTCCGGGATTGTGAAAAGGTGTACCAATCTCTTCCTGTGCGAGCTAACATCCAACAACAGTGTAGCTAGGTGAGAGTCTAGATGGTGGTTCTGACAAATCCGTTTAATTTCTGGATCTATGCAGGCCCTCTTTAAGCTAGTTGTCTTCCCATTACGCGGCACCGTGAAGCAAATGGAGAGGCGACTTCATAAAATAATATCATCAGAACTACACTGATTCCTAAAGTGAACGACAGTCAGTTAATCCACGCCCTCTGCAACTGATGGCGATGTGGTCATTTTGAGCGCGTGGCTGATACATTATAGGAAGGCATCATATGGTCAGACGATTTTGGTTATTCCGGAATTCGGTACGCCATGGATACAGTGTGAGTTCATCCCTATGACTGAAGCATTCGTTCGCCGTTTTTCGAGTTGAGCACCCAGTTTGGTCGTAAATACGGTGAGTGTATCCAGTTATTTATTCAAAAATCCAGCAAGCGCAACGATATCTGTTTCCAGCCCGCCTTAATGGGACATTCAAAACGTCATGTAAACAGTCTTTGATAGTGTCAAAGGTATAGTCTGTTCGGCGTAAGCAAAGGCGAGAGACAGACAAGGATAAACTTCCAGTTTGTGAGACTCCTCCATAGACGTTTCCAGATGAACCACATAGAGGTGACTATCAACAAATACCCACTCAGGCAAGAACTTTTTCACCCATCGACTTAGAACAATGGCGACCACTGTGCATCTGACTAGAGCTACCTGTAGATCGCCAGAGGTGGGCAGGCGGATGCGAGTGAAGAGTTTATGAACTTAGGTCAATAAGTGTGTTTTGATCTTCGGTTTTTGGTTCTGGTACACAATGTACGTACGTAGGCGCTGTATACAGCAAGCGAGCCGAAGTGTCTGGGGTGAACCGCATCCCCTTGGAACTAGAGAACATTTCTTTGAGTTTTGATGCACGGGACAGACTTGGAGTATAGACTATTTTTAATCTTTTGCCGACCACCATCTTTGTGTGTATCCGTCTGCGATTCACTTGATCAGTAATCTCGGTGGCAGCGATCAATTAATGACGTTCTGTGTGTATGGTTCTCAGGGTGGTGTCGCCTTCTAATTTCACGAATTTAAGAGGAATTCGAGTATGACGGAATGTACAGTCTCATGTCTGCTTATATCCAGAGCTGTCCCTCCAAGTTGAAGGGAGGCGCTTCTTGTGATGAGCATTGTACAGATCGATATTTCCCTAATAGCAATATGCTTTCCTTTTTAACTGAGTCCACGTGCATGCAGCATGTGAATATTGCCTAGGTGGTTAGGTTAATTTTTCTTAGTAGAATGAGGTACCCATATTTTATCGCCGGTGTGCACGTGGATTTTTAAATGAGTGTGCCTGGTGAGGTAGCCTCTGTTGGAGATAAGTCACCCGTGGGATTGTGGACTACTCTTTCCCGTCTGCTTATCTTGCCTTTTTCTGTATCACTTCCCACAAGAATAGTGCGATTTTCGTTTCATACGTAAGTTTGACTTTTGATCAGAGCGTGCAATTTTCGAATTGTCAACTATCTGTTGATGAACCCGTTATTAGGCGAGTGCAGTCGAGATGTCCGGGTTGAGTTCGAACCACGGACCTTTCACCTTGTGAGTTCGCGTTTTAAACACAGCTCTCTCGAGCTCTTTGATATACCAAAGCACAACTAGTGATGAGTTGGTTTCCAAGTTGACACCGCACTCGTCTTCAAACGATATTATCACCCAGTGGGACAGTCAGTTTACTTAACGACCCCTCGTAGTAGACGGCAAACCAGCGAAAATGCTGGTGACCCACTGTCTCCAGCAAGTCAGAGTGCAACCCATGGAGATAGATATTCGGGAAGCAACACTTGGAACACAGGACCCTTTTCTTTATGCTGCCCCTCCAGCAAACAATCTTACCTCCGGGACATCGCGGAGAACACTTTCTATGGGAAACGGCTATTATTCCTCAACAGTTAGACTTTTCATCATTCACCCGAATATATCTCTCTACCTGTTGCTCTTAGCTGTACATCTACGTAAATCCTTTCTCATCCCCATCCGATGTGAAGTACGGCTGGCCTGCGACTAAACCTAGGTCTAACCGTTTCATGAGAGTGAGGACTTCTAACAGCACAGGTGTGTCAGCTCAACTTTGCTTTTGATATTGAGTCGTTCTGTGGATATTGCATAAAACATAGTATAAGTACCTTGAAGATGAACTTTGTTGTCGCTATCAATGCCCCGCATATGTGCCATTGGCATCATAGTTCCTGATATCATATTTTTTCCCTGTTAACTCTGTTCTTGCATCACGAGCCTCTCCCTCTTTTCAATGTGACCTAAGTGTACGATAATTTTTACATAGTTCGACGTATACACACTGAGTCATCTTCTTCCAGCTTTGATCCGGGTCAATGCGCTCTATGCGTCCGAGGACAAGTTGGATCAAATTACCGAATGTTGTTTGCACGTTTTTGAGGCACTAAAGCAGCACTATGAACAGCAACATCAACAAAGTGCCCTAATGAAACTCGACAAGCTTGCGGGTACCCCAAACGCTGTGCAGCAGACTCTAGAAAACGAAGCTGTCGCTCAGCCAGACAAGCCGAACCTGAGTCACAACACGACCGGCACTCCCACAAGAGCCAACGCAGATGACTTCCTACCCACGCTTATTTGGGTCGTGGTCAAAGCGAACCCCCCATTGTTGCACTCCAACTTGCAATTTATCATGCGCTTTGCCAATCAAAAGCGGCTCAACTCTGGCCAGGCGGGTTATTTTTTTACAAACTTGGTGAGTTTTTGCATAACAAATGGTTTATTTTTCTCGATTTGTCAGCACACACCAGACACGTTGGACAAAGACCGTTAATCAATTTTCTTTCTCTAAAATCTGTACAAAACTGGTTACAGAACGAAGTGCAGCAGGAGGGAAAACAGAATTGTTTACTATTTACTGGCAATCTGTGTAGTCGTTCTGTTTGTTACAATGCTAATTCGAGGAAGTGTAAGCGTCATCTGGATAGTCCTTTGGTGAATTCGTGCGAGCCAACGGTATCCGCGTCGCTGTTCACTTGATTTTCACTTATCGAACTCAGTCTGCATTTTACGCCAACCAAAGTGGCTTCCCTAATCAATGTCCAATTTGAGCCCTCCGACTTGTACTACTACTATGTAGTATGTGTCCATATTTGCTGGCCACCGTACACAGTTTAGCTTAAACCAACCCCTCTGAAGAGGGATCGTCATGAGCAAACGGTATATTTGACCTATCTGGGAAGCGTGTCTCTCCAACTCATTATTAGGTAGCTACTAAGCTTAGCTTGCTTGTAGTCGTCGACCTCTGACAGGCCAAATTGGCCCCGCATCAGTACAAGATGTGGCTGGTCAGTAAAATGACTTTACCAAACGATCACATTTCAGCACCCGCGTAGCCTCCGTTTCTAGTGATGCGTCCGGAAGCTGTCTGAATTCCTAGAATGTTGCCAGTGCCTACACTTTATAGCAAAACGCGTCTACACGGTCTTGCTTTGACATTGTGTGCACTTTTTTCACCGTTGCTGGTTGTGTTAGAGATGCCTGCTTGGGAGAACCAGACTGGTAATCAGGTTCAGGCGAAACTGGTTTTTGAGTCATGGCTGAGTTGTAAGTTTGTGGTCTATCCAAGTGATGGCCTGTCTTCAGAGAGGCTCGCTCAAAGGACTGTTTTGTTTGGTTCATTCTCGAAGGTCTTCCGATACTCCTGTCATGTAGGTCATGTAAACAAACACTTGCCATAGGTTCGTTTGAGGGATCTTTTTCTCGGAGGAACGATTATGACTGTCATTTGCGCCAAGCCAAACTTTCGGTTCATTGTGTTTGCCTGAATACTCCATAAATAATGACCAGCTACCGATTTTACAACATCCATTTCTGTGCATGTGTTTGTCGTTGTCGGATTGTCAAGATGTTTCAATCAATGCTTGCAAAGGAGCACTTGAAACCTACTCGGTTATTGATGTCGAAGTCGTAGCGCTCATTCAACAACTTGATAATGCAGCTACCGCGTGACCTGGTTCATGCACCTATTGTTTGCTGCGGTACTCTCATTCCAATTTCTAGGGTAATTGGACCCCAAAACTGCTACTTTCAGTCCGGTGATACATACATAACGCAACACTAAAGTGCAGTCCCACCCCGCCCCTCCATATCCAAATTGCTGTTGAGAACGATTCCGTCTGCAATCAGTTGCGCGCTTTTCCTATTCAAGTATATCTTCTCGGTTTCAACCCACTTGTTTGAGGAGCTTTTAACCTCAGGTCTATTAGGCCAATCAGCACAGTGTTTTGGATTATGCGTAGATTTGTTTCATACACCGTACTCGAATCTTCACAGTTTCCTTTATAGTGATGCGCAGTGGTCACTTGTGATTTAATCAGTGCCGCAAACTGCAGACTCCATCTAAAATGGCTGGACGGGTTGTTGAGACTTATCAAGTGAGCATGAATTGGCTAGTAAGGTATTCAGTTTCGCGATCTGACCGACCACAAATAAGGACAGTTTGAGGGCCTTTTTAGTGGAATAAGCCGGTTTGGTTGATGCTGTTTGGTATCCTTTGAATACACGTCGCGAATAGTGGAACCTTCACGCTCAGCTTAGGAGCCTGATTAGGCCTGAACACCTGCGAACTTTGGAAGACAATTTTATTCCCTCCTTAGAAAGGGCTAGGCAGCTGCGCTTTTTATCGTTTGATTTTTCTAATAAGGCGCCCCATTTGCTCTTAGATGAAAAGAAACTATTTGAAATTGATGGTAATGATGTCGCACCGAAAAAAAAGCTAGTGACCGACTGGATGTTAATAATTTCTGAAGGATAACGGCTACCCTGGTAAAGCCTAGTGTGAATCCTTGAGGCCCACCGGAACAACCATCTCCCACTTGACATTTTCTGAAAGTAAATAAGGACAGCTTGTGATTATGGTAACGATTCCGAATGAATAATTCGTCTAATCATGCCACTAAGAGTTGGCAAGACCCCTCCAGAAACAGCTATACAGAAATGGTTTACAAACTGCTCTCGAATCCTTTAGTCTTTTCAAAACTTGCATTTCAGAAGCAGGTGCACGTGTCTGCCGGACGTCTTTTGTGTGTTCGCAGACGTTATCAAATTTGAAATTGTGATCTGGTGAAGAAATGTTGCGAATAAGTCCAACGTGATCCTACTCTTTGTTGCCGAAGGTCTGCCTTCACGATGTACTCTTAGCAAGCAAAAGAGAGTTGCGGAGGATTATTTTCCCGACTCCATCCAAGTAGATATTTCCTTGAGCCAGGTCGAAGATGGGGTCTAAATGACTAAATGGTCGTGTCTAAATGACTGTTTGCACAGGGACTAAACTGTATTTTGAACTATTATCTCTTTAAAAAAACTTCACATGAATATTCAGAACACTTCACAGGTATACTAGAAACAGCTCAAAGGGGCCAAACGATTGCTAGAAAACCTATCCACTATTTAAGTCGTATGACCCAGAATAAAAACATCTATCGATTCGGGACCCAGGGCACCCAGGGCCGCCACCAGTGTCATGACCAACACACGGTATCGTTCAGCGTGATCTGTTGAGCAACTCAACATCCGCCAAAGATTATTCGCTTGGAACTATTCATCACGCGATACTTTTGGGTACTTCAGCCTTTCGCGTATCATCATATCACTGTCTTCTCTTTTTAACTACATCTTAGTTTCAAGTGCAATGGTCGCTCACGTCGTAACAGAGGAACCCTAGCGACGCTTGTTAATTAGTTTCACCAGCGTGTGGATAGTTCTAATCTCTTTGCCGTGCAACCTCAAGCTAATCATCAATCGGCTCGTGAGAAACTGCTCCACGGTGCGCTCAATATTTCGGCAACGTGCTGATGCAGTTCCCTGTTCTCGAGCGTTCTAACCACTTTCTGAGGAATTCTTTTCATTCCTGGATTAGGGCTCTGGCCTACGAAACCTAAGTAGCCTGTCTCGATTATTATTTTTTCACAACTACTCCTTGCACTGACTAGAAGCAGCCGTTGGATTTTGTTCCGATCCGGGTGTGTACTGGCAAAACACGAACGGGTTGTATGTGAAATTTGTCGGGGCTGTGCGTCGAAATAGTTCTGATGTGTTCCAGATGATGTTAACTGTACGGCGGTTCCATTGTAGTTATTCGGGTTACAATCCACATTCCCGCTTCTCTCATTCCGACAGTCATGCGCAGTTCATTTCTTAACCAATCTGACGCACGAATCTCTCAACATGACTGAACAAGAGTTCTATCGATGCATGCGGACCGGAATACCGCTAAATCGACGCAGTGGAAAGCAATGTGAGGGTGAACAACTCTTGACCGATAATGAAATCCGTCTCCTGGATTTGGACGAGCGGTAAGTTCCTTTTATCTGTAGTGCCGTATTTGTTGAACGTTATCTGATGAACTTCGTGATTAAAAAGTTTAAGACACGATTTCACAGTCATTGTAGGTAGGAGATCGGATCGCACGACTCGAGTGTATCACACCGACATCCCCAGTCTTTCAATTGTTAGCCGTAATTCGGCACCGGCACTGCTTTACCGCTCGCAGTTATGCGATTCTGCGGTCAAGAAGCTTATCTAATCCAGCATTAAGGCGAACTCATTGGCCGAAAGTCTGGACCCAATCATGATTCAATATCCACCGAATGCCGGTTGGCAATGGCGCGTCCAGAAGGTGTCAGGATTTCCAGAATGTTGTCGCCACATATACTTTGTATATGAGGCGCTTTATATGTGTTTTTGACCTGGTTTTGGACGTTAACAAACATGCACCATTGGTGGTTGTTTGACGGGAGCCTTAGCTTAGAGGGTTCGGATATAGAACTAGCTGAGAAAATATAGTTGTTACACCAATGACTTCGTGTAGCCCTGCGTTAGTACTGCCATGAAAACCTATTGTCCGGAAACTCTTGAGAAAGTTTTGTCTTACGGACTCTTCAGCTTTTCCTGATTCAGCATTGTTCCACACAAACTGAATCATCTGGGCGACAGTCCGGTCCAATAGACTGCCACAACTAGTGGAGTTCGTTAAGTTTGTCTCGGCTCCCTTTTTTGTTCGTTTTTCCCCCAACATTGTCATGAGTGTCAGAATCTCGTCTGAATGGAGATTGATAGACTTGGATTAAATGGATGTTTACTTCACGAGCATTTGTTCACAAAGACTACTTTCATGTTTTGGCATACCTTTTTCGAATTCTCTGGTGCCTATCGATAACCTCAGAATGAAGAACTTGCGTTTGTTATTCGGTTCACGTATCCCAGCAGCTGCGTTACCCATGACTGTAAGATAATGGATAAAGTCAATTCACGGACAATAAAGTCGCGTACAGCTTTCACTAACGTACATCCGTCTGTGTATACAAACAACCGCAAGAGCTGTCTTACATTGTGGTAGTTAGATTTGACCTCTCCCCCCAATCCGAGAGAGAACCTTTAGGCGTTTGATTACCAGTGTAACTTGGCAGAAGTTAGCTGGCTGTAGCATGTAGATAGTGTACTTTGTAATGAATGATAGGCTAAGCCTACCGGGTTTAGGTGGTTGGGGTATGTGTTACGTAAGCCCAATCCCTGTCTGCCAAAACAGCGTTGTTTTCTATTCCAAGCCGTTTATGGCAGAAGGTTCACAGAGGACAGGCTATGACATAGCAATGAAACGGTTACTGTCAGACCTAGTGCAGCGCCTTCCTGGTTGCAGTCCACGTGATCTTGTGTGCACGAGGTTGGGAGCCTTGGTATGCAGCCGTTCCAAGACTGCTGGGTCGATCCCATTGAAGACGCCTTACTTCGACCTGATGTTCAGATGTGTTTATTTTGATACCTAGAAGTTGTTGACACCTCATTATTGATAATTTTTCCTTGAGGACTTGAGGTGCATTCACACCAGGTCCCTACTTTTTCCTTTCCCTCAGGGTTGTATGGCATTCAAGCACCAGTATATGGTGCTGGTACATTGCTGTCAGTTATCATGATGGATATTCCTGAAAAGCCACCCACCGCGCACTTCCTGATTGGGTTAAACAGAGAACTTATTCTAATGGTTATTCACTTTGCACGTAAGTGTAGTGGCAGCGTAACGTCGCCGTAAATGTTCGCCGAACTGACATGAGGCTAATCCTGCTACATTCACCTGGGGAATCTCAACCGGGACAAAACGCTCAGTGGGTTGCTTTTCAGAACCATTCACATTTGGCTTTATAGATATATACGGAATGGTTAGGACCAAGCTCCAGACCCAATTTAAAGTCCGTATCCGAATGGCAAAATTACTCCAATCTCACACATATCCCTAAGGCGATTGCTTCGATGGAATACGTTGAAAAACCACTTTATGAGGTTGTCGCACACTTGTGATGACAGTAAATGTGTTACATCGCGACCTCGCTACTAACTCTCCTGTTGCCTGTATCGAACCGTGGCCTATACCATCGTGAATTTAGCTCAATTAGATCATAGGTCGTGATTCATTAAATCCATCCTAAACCTTAGTCGGAAGGGTGTTACTTTGTCCTCAGCTGTTGACAACTTTCCTCCCACACTCACGCTTAGGCATTTTAAGCCTAAAATTCCGTAAGTGATCAGGTGTGCGTGTCGTTCAGCGGATTTCTTCCATACACCCAGTTAACCCTCACACGGATGTGCTAGTTCGGCCAATTTTCACGTGATGATGCTTCACCTCGGTGACAAATTGTGGTTCATTTTCTTGTCCTTTCTCCAGCTTTACGGACTTTGAGAAACAAGTAGATTCGATGGAGAAGGATATGAAACAATTTGATATGTTAACCAAAGAACAGATTTCACAGCTACGGACAAACTATCCTGTAAACTCCTTGGCGTATAAGCTTGATCCACGTCAACTAGAAAACCCGTTTGTTCTGCTCCTTGGTCCTCCTCCTGTCCCTCAGCGGCCAGACGAGTCAACCCTGGGTCTTCCTCCCACTTCCCTGCTAGATCTAGAAGATGAATCGACGGCTCAACTGCTCCCTTCCCCTATCGAACCGTCTCCTTACGTGCCCACTTCACAGGCCTCATGTGCTTCGAAATCGCCTATTTAATCTAGTGACGACGGTATGAGACAGTTTTGTTGTTTGTCGATCAACTTCTTATCGTGCAATCTCGTCAGCAGAACTACTCTCAATACCATTTTCAGGTATTTTGTTTGCTATTTACTGACGAAATGACTTCGTTTGGCCGAGTCTATTTCACTTATTTTTTTCAGTTTTTATGGGTTCGGCTTTGGTCACGGTATGCAGTAGCTTTCTCCTGAGGACTGTGTTCCTAGCCCTTTTATTGGTCTTCGACTGCATTATTTTGTTTTCATTAGTGTTCATTCCAACTGTGTGTTTCCGCCTCCTTCCCCTAATTCCTTTGTCCCAGGTTTGATTTTCACCTAACTGCGTGACCTGTTCCTCAGGTTCATCGAGTTTTCTCGACAAGGTCATCGTCCATGTGAATTCCTTGACTGGTTTCTGATGGTCTTCCAGTCATTTGAATTCAAAAATTTATGTACATATCGCCGTCTTGCTTTCCACTGCATAATGAGAACTCAACCAATGTGTGCTAATTTAATTTCTGTGTTCTATGACTAGCAAATCGATGGGTGATTCGTTATTGAGTTCTCCGGAATTTTATAGCTTCTGATGATGATATCCGAATAGCGAATTTCTGGACAGACGTTTTGCCAACGTTGCAAGGGAACGCTGATAGGTCAAGTTGTATAGGCTACTGTTCTGTCCGTTCAGCTTGGCAATCAGGTTGGAAACGTTTTGTTACCAGTCAAGATGATGCCATCATTGCAAGACCGATGAGAGTGGCAATTTGTTATACCGAATCGACTACATAGATTGATCTGGTCACTATACCGAACAGACTTGACGAAAACTACAGCCCGGATTCTCAGTTTCCATACATGAGGACACAAATTTAATTTTAAAGACTTGAGGATCCTGGCACGTGAAAATATTGGGCAAGCGAAAGTGTCTTCGTGGCAAACTCAGTGAACCGACATGGAAACTATGAGCCAATAATCATTGACTTAATTGGACAGTTGTGAGGGAGCGGACGAATAAGCCGGGAGTCAAAGGACCGAAAGGACAAACGTCACCAGGTACGGGTCGCAGAGTTCGATTCAGAGACCAATTGGACTTCGGCCATCCAGAGAATGGGTCAACTAGCCTACCAATATGATCGAAAATCCGAAAGACCAATACTAGTTAAAGGTCGTTATTCGGCCAACGAGACGCATGTAGACAAATGTGGCATTGGTTGACGTATTCGTATCGATTTTCGTATTGGAAAATTCCGATACATCCAGAATGCGCTGATGCAGTAGTGGGAGCTTGCTCGCCTCGCATATTAGGTGTCCGCAGTTCGGCACGGCCATTGGAGATGTACTGCTGATGAGCTACAATACGAACGAAACTCGGGTCCAGTGCTTCCCTCCTTTACCATGGACTCACCAGAATAGTTGCGCCAAGACAACGACGACTGTTCAAACGAGAGTGGTGCGAATATGAATTGAAAAATTCGTCCTTGAGATCTCTCTTTAAAATGATTCTTTACCCGTCAGCTAAACATTTTAATGCTATTGGCTAAATTTAATCATTTGCGAACTGGTGTAACTCCCAAAATGGTGAAACCAGTGGTGGGTTGTCAAATCGTTTTCAGCAAACATAATGAATCAAGTCGATATTGTGTTCAGGCTTACATGATAACTGTTACTTGCTTGCTTGTCCATTGACGAGAAACTAGTCAGCCAGAACAGGTTTTGCGCTGCGTCGGTTGTGATGGAAGAAGTTGGATGTCGGCCCAACTGACCCTAGAGACACTTTCCGCTGTGTACTGCGTTAAGTAATGTCAAAACGAGAGGCTCATTTGTATCTTAATTAAGTGCATCATTCGCACCGGTTTGTATGCCAATCGATGATTTATCTAACGTCTGCATGATGACGAACCGGGGACTATAGCTGTTTTTTTTTACTAACCGGAACGATGTACTGAAGCCGCATACAGTTTACGTATTTAGCTGAGAGGTGTGACAGCCAAACATTTACGTTACAGGTACCGAGCACGCAGCGCAGGTTCGTCACCGTCCACCCACGTTCAGCCGATCGTTGGCCTGAAGGCTTAATACTTATTTTTGTGGGACGCGGTTTACATCAGCTGGAGCGCGTGCTACCCAGCTTAGTCATGTCTTGACAGTGAAATATCTCACCGAATGTATGCGCTATGGTTCCGCTCCATGGGTCAATATGTGTGGATCACCTTTCTCCCACGAGTATCGTGTTTCCGCTTTGTTCTGCTAAATTTGACAGTTTTTTACACACAGCTCAGGTAAGACTTGTTAAGTTTTCATTAGATTACAATTTAAAAGTCTATTTCCCATGCCATTGAGGAAGCGTTTTCTATCAGAGAGGAGATAAATGTTCCCTACAACGCGTTTCTTATCACGTTTTCGAAGGTCTACGCTTGTTGGAAGTTGATCCATTGGAAGCAGTTTTTGGGTCCACTTGGAGCTACCACATTTTGGCAGGTTGCTCCCTACAAGGACTACCACGAAGATGAGCTCGCTTGTTATTTATTCGTCAACCGCGATAATTATCTCCCTCTGTTTGGTCTTGTTGGACGGTAGTGCAATTCCGTATCGGTCCCTTGACTTCCTGCTCCGCCCACTGTGGTATAGCAAACGTACGGTAACTCTGGACAGCCCTTTATGGAGACGAAGGAAAATTATTACAACTATTTATCAGGTAATCACAGTGTTCCACAAGGTCGTGCTAGAATCTCCGTGAGGCGGCGAGAAGCGTCGAGTCGATGTTCGATCCGGATTGGCTGGCATTCTGACCAGTCAGGGTATGTCTTCGTTTGGTTCGCGTCCTGCATGTGACATCCGCCTAAATGATGTGATGTCCGGTTATTAGGGACGACTGGTCTCCGAACACGCTCATAGTGTAGAACAAACCGCTTAGTTTCTAAAAGCGTGAAAAAAGAGCCTAGTTCATTTAACATCTATGGCTTGGTGTTAATTTGACGTAGCACGAATTGAATGGAGGAACAATTCACTGTTCGTGGGGCTTGAGAATGCAGACTAAAGGCACTCAAGCCGTTTCTTTTCCAGAAAACCCGGAACACGCGGGGATTTCAGTTACTATCATGATGTACACTGGTCATGACCGGCTGATGTTAGCTCAGTTTGAAACGCAGGATCATGGGTTAACGGAAATTCGCCATTTTCCTTGTATAGGCATTTGCGTATTCACAACACAGTAGCTTCAATCTGTTTTTGGACATACAATGCGGTGTGGCCTTTACCTGTTTGGACAAGGCCGTATACCTTAGTGATTAATAGTGATTACAAGGTACGAGCCTCTCGGCTAAACATACTGTTTCCAGCCCCCCCCCTGCCGAAGAAAGATCATTCGTTTAAACGAGCCACGAAGTTGCTACCCGTCATGTACGATTTAGCGTAAAATTTTACCAAAGCCACCATCCTCGCCACCATGAGAACCTCATGGCGGCAGACGCTCGCTTTTTGTTGGCCAGTTTCCGCTCAACATGTTTGACAATCCTAAACTTCAATTTTTTGATTATTCTCTGATCCTCACTGAATAGCACTGTCTTGCGTCAGTAATATTTTTTGGCACCGTGACTGTGTACTCACACTGCTTGACCATTCAGCAACATTTGGTAACCGAGATATTCTAAAACCCACCATTTCGCTGCAGAAATCCCTTAGAGCAAGCGGTTTATAGGACCTATGAAGGAAGAATGTATTTTAGGGACGTCGGTTTTCGAAGCTGAACTTTGTAGTATTTTCGTTCTGGTTTAATGCTGATCCAAGATTTTTCACCTGCGTGTTCCAGGCGGGATAGCAAAAAGTTTCCGCTAACCTGCACAACTCCATGGTCCCTGAGACCACTTGCCACTATCCAGTCGATTTGATATCTCAGGAGGACTTTGGCCGGCTTCTATCATTGTCAGACTCCTGTATGAAAGTTAGATTAGCGAGACTCGCTGACATATCCTTACTCTTGAGCTTTCATGGAAGAGCGATACGATCATATACATCTCACAAGCTCAGTAGGAAATCCGCAGGTTCCATAGTGCACTACCATGGCGAAGTTGAACACGAATGAAGAGGGTGGATGTCCTCGCCGGGAACCACGTACGGGAGCTTCTGGAGAACTCGCCATACGCAGACTCCCAGCATTATGTGAATATGAGAACCATATTAGGTTCAAAAACTTCTGGGGCATTCTCCTGTTGAGCAAATGCAGCTGAATTGACTGGTCAACAGAATTGAAGCCAAGGGACACTAGGATTGTCATTCGTATGTACACGGCGTTCCTCTAACACCTGAAGAACTGTGACCACGTGGTCGACACAGCCCCTATCCGGCAGGATATTCAGCTTTATTCTCAGAGGTCAAGGTTTCTCGTGCCGCAATGAGAAGGCGAAGATCCAATGAAGCCAGAAGCCTCATCACAGCGGGAGTCGAACACACAACCTGTGGTAATAGATTTACCAAGAGTGCTATTGGAAAATGCGTATTATTATCGACGCAACCAGTAAAATATATCGAACATGTTCACCCAGTAAGAGAACCATGATATGCACACCTACACCATCACCACGCTCAGCATCAGTATCAATATCATCATCATTTTCATCGGCACCATCGTCGTCGTCACCTTTATAATAATTAAAAACATCCTCATCATTTTCACCCTAATCATTATCACCCACTTTATCATCACAGCCTTCAACGTGATATTCATCATCAGTCACCATCAATCAGCGTCACCATCCTTCCCCTCATCATCATCACCAGTATCATGATCACAATCTCATGATCGTGCCCATCACCCTCCTCCTATGATCGCCGTCATCCTCGACAGCAACATCATCCTCTTTATAATCAACATCATAACCATCATTGTGATCAGCTTCGACATCAACACCGTCGTCCTCATCATCGTCATCGATTTCGCCACTATCATCCTGGTCAACAGATTCGGCATCACACCGATGATCGTCAATAGCATCAATGTCCTCATCCCCATCTTCATTATCACCCTCATAACCAGTAACACCAACACCAATATCACTCCCGTCAGCATCATCTACATCATGGCGGTTATCACATTTATCAGCATGAGTATCACCACCCACATGGTCATCGTTATGATTGTCCTCGTCAGGAACATCATCCCCGTCGCCACCATGTTCATGACCATCATTATTTCCGTCACCATTGTGCTCACCATCACCATCAGCAGCATCCTCATCTTAACGATCATCATCATCCTACCCCTTCCCATCATGATCATATTCATAATTTTTGTCATCATCTCTCCCATCTCCTGGGAATTCCAGCTACTGGTCTTCGCTAAATCCTTGTGGGTTTTTAGTCCACTGTACTTCCGGAAAACAAACTTGGTCTTGCAATCACCGCATTATTTATTTACACATCGAGCTGAGTCATTCCAAATATGACATGTGCGAGCCAACCGAAAATACGGCAAAACAGAGAGCATGTTCAGGTTGACATCTATACAAGT